CATAAATACATACATAAATACATACACAAATACACACACACACACACCAACACGTACGTGCATGCATGCATGCATGCATACATACATACATGCACGGATGCACACACTTGTGCCTGTGAGTGACGGCCCTGTTGGGCCAAGGCCGTCCGTCTTGTTCTTCGAAACAATCTACAATAGGTAACATTGTCGCATGGAGTATGCACCATCAGCATGTTAGAGGTGCATCCATCGTCGCTCTCCGAAATGCTGTAAACACACACAAGAGACTGACAATCTTGAGAGGAAGGACCGCACATGTGTGTTTGTCTGGTGTCTCTGTGTGTGTGTGTGTGCGAAGTGTGCTCTTAGTTCTGAGCAGGGCATGACACCGCCAGTGTGCTGAAACCTCCCAGTCCTAGTGACGGTCAGAAGGCCCAAACTGACATGAACTTTGCGAGCAGGCCAAAAACTTAAAAACGCTGCAGACTCGCAGAGCAGCAGCCGGGCAGGGATTACAGGTTGGAGCTACTGTGGAAGCACTCAGCTGGCAGAAGCTGTGGACAGGGCTGCTCCTGCTTCTCCAGGCGCGCCTAAAGTCGAGGACAGAGGAAAGTTCCATCGGCCAAAGGCAACTGTGACATCGCGGCTGTGCCTTGCGGACCTGGGGGACCTTTCATTATCTGAATCAAATCGCCAGTCATGGAAGCCACCTGCAGGAGGAGTGAGACAAAAGCTAGGCAGTCGGGAGACGGTGTTTCACTACCAAGGACTACATGTACGTGCTTCGCAAGACATTGGCAATGCCTCGTAGATTGGTCGCGTTTTGGAGTTTTGGGCCTGTATTTGTTTGACCTCTGAAGACATCGCAGGATTGGGTTTTCTGCACTGGCCGGCTTGACAAAAAAGGCACGTTGGGGAAGAGCACTCCCATTCTTCCATACCAAGGGCGCTGCAGCTTCCCAGGCAGCTTTTGCATGTTGCTTGGCAGCTACAGCTGCTGTTGTTGGATCGTAGACCTAGGTTGGCCAAGGTACTGTTGCCTCTCTCACTACCGGCAAACTGAGACTCAAGGGAGGACGCCTGACAACTGCAGTCAGGTTGCGCTTGACACAACCGTTCGGACTGGCTGAGCCTCCTCGTTCTGTCCACTTTGGCTTTGCTTGTTTCGTGGTCCAGGCGCGCTGCGCGACGACTGTGCAGCCTTAGGAAGCGCAAGGCACAAGGAAAGCCCAAACTTGACGCTCAGCATGCAAGATCATCTTGCAACCCTCTCAGTTGGTAGCCCTTTTCGACCGTGCATCAGGTCCAGGTGGGCCTGGGGGACCAGGCGGCCCACGGGGGCCTTCTTCGCCCGCGACGGAGGAGGCACGGCTGTAGCCTCCGCACACTTCAGAGGTCAAGAAGAATAGTCGATACAGCATATTGGCTGCGCAAGATGTGCGGCATCATACTGTCCATATGCCTCCACCAAATCCTGGGACTGGCTGGCCAACAGACTCAACGTCATCCAAAGCATCGTCTGCTTCCTCTTTGGCCATCTTCGCAAGCTTGTCCGACTCCCCCGCCTGTCTCACCTCTGAAGCGGTTTCTCACAAGCCTCTGCCTGAGGCGTACTTAGTGGAGGTTTGGGGAAGATGCAGTTGAGCCGCTGCTTTGCTGAGACTCCCATCAAACTTTCTCAAGTGTTTGCTGATCTTCAACATCGTCTTGCCAAGATTTTGTGTACGATTGAGCAACTTCTGCACTGCGCTCTTGGATGAGTTCTGGTCCTTCAGAACCTCATCCAACCTCAACACATTGTTGACTGGCCGTCATGGAGAGCTACCGACTGGCTACACATGCCTGCTGCCAGGAAGCGTCGTTCCAAGGTCATCAACTTCGTACTTAAGATTGGCTTCTCTCGCCTTTAGAAGATCTGATGCATTCTTGGCTTTCCCGGCATCCTTCTGAGCATGCCCAGCTGCAGTTTCCTGGCCAGTCTGCCAGCGGAACTGGGCTGTGCAGTTGTTTCAGGCCATGTGATACCCTACTCTCGGTGGCATGAATGAGCTGCTAAGCCCTCGACCGCATGCATCGCTTCTGTCCCAAATTCGATAACTTTGCTTTCCACATCCTTGACAACCTGAGTTCAGCTTCGTCGTTCATGTTGCAGTGTATCTCGTCTCCCCCAGCAGTCTCTGAACAGGCCCTAGCTCGCTCCAGGATATCATCCTTGGCCTTCAGCTGGCCGTCTTCTCGCTGTATGCCTGCAAAGGGCGACGAGGTGACTTCGCGCCACCAAAAGGCAGCAACCGCAGCAGCAACGCTCAGCAAAGTGCAGGGCGCATGCTGCCTTCCACTTCGGCCTGGAGCCTGAGCGCGGTGCTGTTTGTCTGGTTCAACGCCTCAGCTCGGCAGAGACCCGAGTTACCAGAGGCAGAGCAGCACTGCTTGAGAATGCATGCGCAACTGGCTCAGACACTCGGATCCCCGGATTGATTGCAGCGAAGGACTTCCGAAGGCAAAATCCATCTGTGACATGCCCGAAGACGACTAGGCGACTGGCGTCGTTGACATCTGCATCCACTTTCGCGAAGTCTCCTTCATGCTGGTGCCCGCACCGATTCGACAAAGATTGCAACAGTCTGCTTACATCCTGCGGTCCTCGGACCGCCTCAAGCTCCTGCAGTCACAGCAGCAACAGATGCAAGAGTTCATTCTGTGTGTAGACAGTCGTACAAATACACAGATATACATATATATATATATGTATATATATATATATGTATGTGTATATATATATATATCCGCTCTGCTGGTGCCCACATGTGCCGTCGCACTCCCCGATATCAAGCGCTACAATGCTGCACAGCAAGACAGTAAGAACCAAAAAGCGGAAACGGCAATGCCGGATTTTTACCTGCAAGTAGCACATAATATAAAGTATTGAACCAAGACGAGTTCTGGACGATTTGGTGTTTTGAGTTTGACACAGCGCATATCAGACTCATCCTTCGCGTAATGAAGAGGCCGCTTGGTCCGGCTGCACTACACCAGGAAGTACACCACCGACAATAACAGTAGATGTCGCAAGTTCCAGGTAATCAGACCTTGACCACAAAAGTTCGTCCCTGCCAGACTGACTACTGGCATCGACCACGAAACATGTGGACAGTGAAGGGCTACAGGCTGAGCGGTTTCAAAAAAACGGGCGAGCGCGGCCTGGAACACGGAGTGCCGGGTTTAGGATGGCGACGATTGTCATCGGAGCCCCCGCAAACTTGCAACACGGAAAAAGAAAGGCCATCCCTAAACAATGTTGCAACGTCACAAGTTAAAATGAGCACAAGCAGTAGCCGCCTACGTGAAGCCGCATTGACGGAAACGGTGTACATGTCAATTTTTTGCTATACCAAAGGCTTGTAGAGAGACAAAAGACTGCACAGGAACAGTGGGCAAGAAGGGTCGAATGGATCGGCGGATAACCATGCATCCCCGTATCTATGTCTATATGTAAGTAAACATGAATGGATATCTGTGCGCGCCTTTGTTGATATGTTTAACTTTGTTTGCTGTGTCTCGATGTGTCTTTGTTTGCAATGATGGAGATTCTCTCTGTCTATGTGACACGACATGCTGCCGCTGTCGCTTGTTTGCCCGGCCCAAGCTAGTGAATCAATCGATGCTGCAATCTGCCTTCTTCTGTTCCGCATTCTCTTGCTCGAGCTCGATGATCTTCTCGTCTGCGGCATTCAGCCTTTGATCCTCACCGGGCACTCGCATGAACCACTCTGCCAAGTGTTGACAAAGTTGGAGAACACCAAACCAATCAAGTCGCCTGCGCAGCAACCATGACAGCGGCCCGGGCAGCCTGAGCATCATGGCGTGTGGCTCTCACGTGAGGTTTTGCAGTCGGATTCTGAAAGCCACTGACTGCTTAGATCTACAGCCCAGCGACCGCAGCTTCGGCAACCTTGGCAACCTCCATAGCATTCGCCAACCGCTCCTCCAAGTCAGACTCGGGAGTCTTGGCCTTGGAAGCATTTTTGGCTCAGCCCCATCCCATTCCTCTTACATCCTCTGGTCTGATTTGCATGCAGATTATCATCGACGTAGGGCCTCTCTTCTCACCAGCGGCGGGTTGGCTGAGGCGAAGTCCACCTCATTACGAACTGGCTGGCATGCTGGACGGCCATCTCGGATGCATGCAGCATGAGCGGCTTCCCGTTTTGACACCTGTCACGCGGACAGATATCCCTGGGAAGCAGGCCGGATCATCTGCAAAGCAGTTCCGAAGTGCCAGCAGCAGAACCTTGTGTAGTGCTCAGGCTGCACGATGTTTTGAACTTTGGACTGTCCGTGGCACTTTGCAAAATTAAGTGTATCGAGGGCAACACCACTCCTCTTCGGAGATGCATCCTTAGCTGCACATGAACAGCTGTCTTGAGAGCCAGAGTCATGCTTCTGCAGTGGCATAATGACTGCAAAGCTTCGAAGATGAGGGATGTCATGGATGTGTTGTCTAACCACGAAGTCTGGACTTGATCCGAGCGAGGCCCCACAGTGCGAGAGCACGCATGAAAGAAGCACAGCCTCGCATGAGAACTCAGTACCGTCAGGCCACACGGCCAGCGGCGAGCCAACATACAACCACAGCAAACAGGATCCAACGTTATGCAGCTGCAGTCCACGGTGCACGAAAGCAAAGCTACAACTGCACGAGACATTTGAGTTTGCTCTTTCAATATCTCTGATGCCAAAACCCCAGCCGGTTACAAATATCATGCACAAGCTTGCTACCCCTGGATCATTCACAGCCATCACGTCAAACTCAATCAAGGACATCACGCTGGGAGGCAGATCGAAAATGAAGGGCCTGAAAATCTTTACACCCTGTGCATTGCAAAGAAATTGCAAAGAAGCAAAACCAACCGAAGCCTGGACCCTCGAGCCAAGATGTGGAAAGGTCGCAGAGCTTCCTGCACCTGCCGACCTGAGGTATCCCACCCCCCCCCCCATTTCAGCCCAGAGCGCCTTTGGTGGACTAGGGGTGAAACCATGAGAGCCTTTTAGCATTGTCTAGATGTCCTAGCTCAACTTGTGCAAACCATCTTAATATCCGGGAAAGTTGGCCTGGGCTCTCGTATGAAGTGAAACGTGCACCAGGCCTGAAAGCATGTGGAGCTTTCCAGATGCACCTTGAAACCGTTTTCAACCCGACAAGCCTGCGTCGTCTTTGTGATCAGAACCTGCGCATCTCAGCGTCGCGGCCAATCGAAACACCGCGAAGGCATTGCGAGCTGCACACATCTGCACACTCTGCATCATGACCTCTTCAGAAGCAGTCCAGCTCACACCGTGTGCCAAAGCCGCCTCATGTCGACTGCAACTGAGAGTCATGAGGAGTGACTTCTGGAAGAAAGAAATCGCGTCAGCTCCACTCCCAGGCACAACCGACGACTTCTCCTGCCTTGCGCCTCGGAGTCATGTTCGAGAAATACTCCGCTCGGCATGCAGAGTGCAGGGTCCGAGGAGTCGACCCCAGAGACGGGTTGCTCTCGCAGGCCTGACAGGCATAGGAGTGAGCAAAATCCTCGGGGACTGTTGGCTTCACCCGAACCGGCATGCTGAGGCCAGGGCTTTCACAATGTCAAAGCCCCGCACCGCCAACTGGAAGTCCTCCGGAAAGTTGGCTCTGATTCACACGACACTGCGAGATCCGAACACTTCGTGCAATGAAGGTTGACTGTAGCCAGACGCCTTGACTATTCGCATAGAGAAGGCGACACCTCAAGGAGCCGCGACAAAAGAGCCAAGGTGTTCTCGGGCCCCAGGTTAAAGATCCTACCAATCACAAGAAAGAATGAAGAAAGATCTGGCAACTCTGCAATTCGCCGTTAAGTGGCAGTTGGTGAACTCTTTCTGCTTGTCCGCTGTGCTGTACACCTTCTGAAAAACTGGTTTGGGTAGTTCCTTCATCTGTCTTCCAGGTGCGTCATATGGACAAGGGCGGCCTGGAAGTCGCGCTTCAGGTCATTCTTCAGCACTGCAGCGATGATGCGTCCAGCCACCGGTGGTGCACCCCCAGCTGAATGCCGGACCGTGTGGACCTGCACTCAAGTCTGAGTCTTTCTGCGGGTAGTATGTATCCATGCATCTGCAGAATGCCCGCGCATTAAGGCCAGCCTGCGGATGCGCAACGCTGGCCGCTGATCCCTGTAGGAGATAAGGGGCATGCTTTAGATTCAGATGAAGAGTTATCCAGACAGGGAGTGCGTGGAAACTGCAACAGTTTGCGGGCGCCCTACCAGTATGGCCCACATGTTGAAGTAAAAGCTGGCTTACTTGGCAAGTCTCCATGTGAGACAGCTCAGGAGCAGCATGCTCTTAAGGGCTCGATTGTGCAAGTGTCTACATTTTGCGTTCACAGCATCAGGAGAGCAAATTATACCAGGCACATGTTTGGCGATCCATCAGAGCCGATTGCAGGATTGCTCCTACCCTGCACGACCGTGCACGAGGAAGCGTCCCAGGCTCAGAAGCCGAGACGAGGCTGGTGCTGCCGGGGAAAGCGACAGAACGAGAACACCACGCAAGCGGCACGAAAGCATGTAGAACCCAGTCCTGGACATCCCGGTATCGCGCTTGAACAGAACGAATCACCTTTTCAGATGCATGGGCTCATGAAGAAAAGCTCTCCTCACTATTCAAGCCAATCCTCGGTGCTGAGGCTACGATGGAGTTGGATGATAGCTTTTCGGAACTGGTTTAAGGCCAGCAGCACTTACTTGCTGCGGCCACCCAAGCTGTCAAGCCTCCTCACAAGATTCTATGTCATCCGCAAAATGCACGAGGATGCCCTCCTGGCACATGAGGACCACTCGAATCCATTACCACCGAGAAAGCTTGGCAGGTCTCGGACTGTTTAAATCTCACGGCATCACTACGTAGCAGAACCCTCTGTCCTTGACGGCATAGAGAAGGCAACAAGACCAGAGCCGTTCTCGTGTCGGCGGGGGCTGACAATGGCAAAGCAAAATGTCGGGTCAGCAGGGCCACAAGCGCAGCGCAAGAAGCCTCTTCAAGCTCACCAAACTTCTCAAGCGAGAGACCGCTGCTCCGCGAGGCACTCTTGAACCTGAAACGGCAGTTTTTGGCCGACGTTTGGAGAAAGCGAGATCCCACAAAATGCCAAGTTGCATCGTGCTAGTAGGGCTGAGCCGAGCTCCGGAAGCGCTCCGAGACCTGACAAAGCCAAGCAGAAGAGTGGCCCTGTGCAAGCGTACACACTTCTTCCTCACTGCTACGCTGCTACACACTGCTTACGCTTAGCTGCGCACATCCAGCTGCATTCTCTGCGCAACTTCTCCACTGAAGGACACCGTGTGGCCCTTGGCAGAGCTGTCTCTCTCACGTGGCTTCTGATTTTTGACGTGGCCAGTGCTTGCCGAAAGGGTATTGTCAGTTGGCTGGGAGGCCTTGCTTGAAGAGATTTGAAGAGTTTGCAGCATGGTGGCACTTGTATCTTGTACCGAACTGTCGGCATCTCACTTCTAACTTTGCCCCATTCGTGCTGAACAATCCTGTCGACTGGCTGACATACAACAGCATCCAAAGCTGCCAACGTCGACTCCATATCCTCTGAGGGCGAGGGTGGCGAGGGCGATGCGTCCTGGTGGCTGCAGTGCGGCATGGAGCTGGAGCAGTATTGCTGATTCTCGGGAAGTTCATTCACAGCTTGCAGTTTGCAGTGCCTTTTCTGAGACATCTGAAACTCACTGCAGGGCGCGACACATGAGTCCAGGCTAGAAGTATAAGTGGCTTTGCATCTGCAGTCAACACTCCTGCTCGCGGACCTTCTTCTCTGCAGCGGTCACCTGGACTGCATCGAAAAACTCGGGTAAGCCGAATGCCCGGAATGTATGCACCGGCACACTCCTACGACAGCGGAAAGTGGCTGCACTGCTCCGGAAGCCTCTTCCACTGTCCGCGAGAACTTATGCGGGAAGTTGCAGTGTGCTTGGAGAACGATGCCCTGGCACAAATCAACGACCATAGCGACCGCTTTTCAGTGCCCGCATCGGCCCATGCGTTAGGTCGCCTAATTCGGCTAACTCGGTTCTGGGCTGAATAGCATCGACCACTCTCCGCATCAAAGCCAGCGATGAGCACAACTTCCGCAGCTTCGCTGACCTGCTGAGCGACACGAGGCCAACACCCAAGCTACGACTTTCTTCCGGCCTGCACGTAATCTCCTCCCTGCCTAAAGGTTCCTGGGAAGACGTACTCCACCTGCCCAGAAAGAATTCAAGCGCCTCTCGAGTTCTTCTGAAGGGAGCCCGGGCAGCTGACGTTTCCCGGTCGCGTTAGAAGGATCTGCCGCGACTTGGCGAGGGGGGTGTAGGTGGCTGTCGACCAGATCGATGGCAATGCCGTCTGTCACACAGCGGTAGAACGTTGCCAAGCAGATCTCTTCACGAAACTACCGAATCCATAAGCCGCCTTGTGCAGGGTGTCTGCCTCGAGCGAACTGAATGCGCTGATTGTGATGCAACGGGCATCAGTTCCTCTTGAAAAAATCGAGAAGTCTGGAAGCTGGCCTCTACTCTTTGCTTCGTTTCCCGTAGAGTCACGGTGAACGAGAATCCCTAAGCAAAAGCCCGAGCAAGAAGCAAGGATTCATCCCAAAGTAGCCGTGCTCGCAACGAGTGCAACGAGGGCATCTTCATGATTTCCTTAACCACTTAGTTCCTCGCAGTTCAAGGCTGCTTCAACACCTTTGGCTGATGTGTTGTATTCGTCTGTGGATGCAAAGCTTCGATCGCAAAACCAACGAAAGCCCGCCAGCCAAGCAGTCGCGACGTCACCACAAGCCCTCACCGCGGTGACAACTAGCCATCGGTAAAGAACCCTACAAGCCCAGAATTACTCAAAAGCAGCCAAGAAGTCGCACAGCCAATCCAAAAAGCCACGAAGACTACCTAAGAACCATCGGCTTCGTCTTCTAGGGTGTGCTGTTCTCGTCCAAACATGAGCCCCAAAATGACAAAGATCACTGTAGCAATTACAAAAGCCATGATCCTGCGCCCCGGATATCCCAAGAGATCCGAGACGCCGACCCATTCTTCAGCTCCACGCAAGGAGAAGTATTGACCCATGACACCCAAGTCACTCTAAGTTCGCCCTTTCAATGTTCTAATGTGACATACCGAACCTACTACGAACACTGGCCTACAGCCCATGTTGACCTGTTGGCTAGCTGCTTGACAATTTCTCATCCGAGTAACTTACTGGATGATGAAACCCAGCCACCGTCAGACTTGAGGAAGGGATCAGGGTGATAGCACGCAAGCTGCCCTGTGCGTCACGGAAGCTTTCGCCAAGCCCAGAGCATCACGATCAACCCCAGCAGCCATAAAGCTATACGTAGAAGGGCAACAAAGAAACTCAATATTTTTCTGCAAAGCACACTCTCCTTCTCAGTTTGAGAGGCTGCGCTCCTACCATGCCACGACATGCTGCCTCACTCGAATCTGTACTTTGTGAAACATGCAACTGATATCAAGACCAGAAAGGCTTGGAAAAGGAAGTGCGCAATGATGCTCATGAGAAACACTTGGTATCCAGCCTTGCAGGGTCCCATCTGAGCAAGGCACGATCCTTCCAATGCCACAGTGTGCCAAGGAGCACGTTCATCGTCCAAGACCTGTTTGGAGGAGTCCGCAGTCCATTCGAAGAAGAGCGGGTGGATGGCCTCTGAAATGCGAAGCTGAACATCCTCAAGAATCGCAGAGAAGCACACGGTTAGCAGCGACTCGCTGTCCAGGCTGCCTTGATTGCATAAGCAGATTCGGCCTGCTGCACTGCAAGCCTGACAGCAACAAGACAAACAAAATGTCTGCCATTCCACTAGCTTCGGCTTGGCGAGCCTGTAGAAGTCTCGATCCTCGTCGCTGGTTATCCTCAAGCCTCCCTTGGGACCATCACTGTTGTACCTCTCGTGCAGGTACTGTGTATTTTGACGGACTGCCATGATCTGACAGGTACTTCATGTGGCTTTCGGGCCACATGAACCAATGCATGCCAGCAAGACGCTCCGCACTTGAAGTCTGCTTGCTGATCGGAACAACAATTCTTGCCCACCGCCCAGAAGTCATAGGAACTGCCAGCCGGCACTCTTGATGCATGCCAAGACATGCAAGACACGATTCATCAAATGAACGCTGTGCTGGGACCATGATTGCTCCAGGTGCAATGGAAATCGAGGTCCGAGCGCCAGCACCATGTTGTTCACGGTTATGGGTGCGACCTGTCATTTGTACACCATTGCCATTGACTGCGATGCTCTCATAATGCTGCGAAGGACACACATCTCGTTTCATGCTCGATTGTATGGCTTGCATGCCAGTACGACAGCTGTCAAAGCCGCCGGCACTTCGACAACGGACAACATTTGGGTGCATAGCACAGATCTCAATCCCTATAAGTCTATGGCTTCGCTGCTTCACCTCCTTCAACTCATGCCGGGACTACACAAAAGATGTCAGTGTTCTTGAACCCATTGGCCAGGTGGAAGTCCAGGCCAGCTCCTGCTACGAACTGGACCTTGCCTGCGTCCATCAGCTCCTGTTGCAAACCCAGCACGATGACAGGCGTTTTCTAGTAAGACAAACCAGGGTTTGTGTTTAGTCGCCTGGCCCCTCATCGTTGCGGGATTGACCTCAACGTATGAGTTCAGCGACACCACATCGAAGATCGAGCGCATGTTCGTCTGGTAATTGTAGCCTTGCTTTGGTGCTGGCTTTGAGTTCAAACAGATGAGAACAAGAGAATAATCTGAAACTAATCTCCAATGCGTGTCTCAGCACTCGTCAGTTGTCAAGAGCAGTTTTGCAGCTGTGTTGTTGTTTGCAGAACATCTTGACATGACCAGAGTAAGATCCTACAATCGTTTGAGGCTTAAGGGGAAAAGGAACTGAGACAGCGCACTCAAGCGACTGCAGGCGCATTGGCTTGAAAAATGCGTGCTTTCAACAACTGAGACCGCGTCTGCCAATGAGCATGCCCAGCACGAAGGCAATGGAAGCAGTGACCGCAATGAAAAGTAGCCACACTGCAAACCTTCCTGCAAGTAGCAAGGACGAAGGTAAGGTGGACGTGGCGACGAATGCACAGCCTGCACTTCTTCTGAGTGTGCCGGGTCCTGTTTCAACTAAGTGGTACTGGCCAAACATGATGGCCCGGCACGACAGCATAACCTGGCCAAAAACAATCGTGTTCAACCTCGCCCCCAAAACCACATGCTTCCGACCCTTCTCCCCCGCGCATCGGGCCCTGTGGAGGGTGTAGAGCCCAAGAAGAATTCCCAGGGCGAGCGTGATGACGATCACCCTGATGCACAGACACTTCTTTGCTGCAGAAGGACCTAGACAGTCCTCGGCAGTGTGGCTGTTGCATGCCATTCTGTCTGATGAAGCAGCCAGGCCGCACTCCAGGCGATGTGTACCGCAACTTGAAGCACCACAGTCCGCACATGGCGATGAACCTGAAAGCGTGGATAGGAAGCCTGTCATCTTGCATGCGTAGCCTGAGGCAAGCGCACGAACCACGGCACAAACAGCGCCATAATGATGCCAATCAAGTTGATGCGCTGCCGAGTCATCGTCTGCCAAGCTTTAAAAGCTTTTGCCGTACTTCCCTCTTCTCACACTTGGTTCAGAAGTTGGGAATATGTGCAGTGTCTTGAGAAGTGTGCATCATTCAAGCTGCCCAGGGCTCAGGTGACGTCACTGGCGGCTTTGGGTTAGCTTGGGATCACCACTGGTGGACAGAGCCTGCGGTGGTCCCATGAGCGGCTTCGACGGCCCCAACTCATCCTACATTTCAGCGACAATCTCGCCCTACACCTTCCACAGCAAACGTCTCGGGTGCAGGCGGCATAAGCACCATATGGATATCCTTGCAGCCAACTTGCCGAGTGGATTTGGGACATTCTTCTGCATCTACCTCGCAAGACCCTGGCCTTGCTGCATCGCATAGTTGTCCTGCACATTGTGGCATTGCCCGGCTGGCGGTTTGTAATTCACTACTGCGCTCCTACAGAATCTGGTGGTCCTAGATGAAGCACGCAGGCCATCAATAATGAAACCTCAACTGAGCCGAAGTTCCCGTGTCCTTGCCGTACATGATGCTTGCTTCTTCCCACCTCCAGCCTCAGGCTGACGGGTTGACAGGACTTTGTTTTCCCTAAAGGCTGCGGGAGCTAATTTCACGTCTGAGGAAGAAGTCTGTTCACAGCATGGCTTTAGCTGTTCTAGGAACAATGAACCAGAGATGCTCCGATGCTGTCCCTGTCGAGAAGCCTCCGAAGCGGACGGAATTCCCAAGTTCAATACCGGGACATGGAGATCTAGACTCTGGAGATTTGAGCCTAAGTGCGGACCGATTGTGACAAGGAGGCAATTCGACTCTGGCACTGCAGATCACTGCCGGCTGAAGACGACATCACCTGATGCTGCGACCCTTTTGATTCTGACCTTCTGCAATCGCCGGCATCCGTCGCGAGATCTTTGGGTAAAAACCATATTATAGTCTGCCTTTCATAATAGGATTGCAGTCGTAGTAGTTCCATGGCAACTTAGGTGTCGGATAAAATGAAGCGAAGTTAAACTTTGATTGCGAAACGAGCTCGTACCGGTTGTTGTCACAAGCACATAGAAGTGTTTAATGCAGTCAACCTCATCATGCCAGCCACTGCTAAATGCAACTGAGGGCGAGTGAGCTCTTCGCAATCATTTGTGTTCAGTTGCCTGCGTGGCTCAAGTTGCAATCTACTGCTTGCAGTGAACAGTGCTGCGGTCAGGCAGAACGTCCAGATGGCAGGAGCCACGAGCACGATGTTCCATCCAGTCCTCTCCGCAGCTCTACTATCATCAAGTGCTGCAGTGGCGACCGGCGGGTCCTCCAACTGCGACTCAGGGCATGCGCACTGGGCACGGTAGTACTGATACTTGCAGCGCGTGTCCTCCACAGCCAATAAACATGTTAACTATGCTACCCAACGAATACCAGAGCTCAAATGCAAAGGGATGTAAAAAGCTTCGGTCGGGCATCCTCCTCTCCCAGTTCACGTGCACAACGGGCGAAGACCGTGAAGCGCAAAATGCAGTTGTTGGACTCAAGGTTCAGTGGACATCCGGCTGAATCCTTTGCGCAATTCAGTCAACGGGCACCTGGTTCGTCAACGATATGAAGCGCGGGTCGTCCTGGCATGCGTCACACATGCAGGGCAATCAGTGAAAGGCTTGATGATACTTGCGACACTTCCATGCAATGCCGATCTTTATCACAACGCATGTTCGGCCGTGGATAGTGATGCAACGGCCTCGGACCTCTGAACTCTGTACTGGCTAGGACGCCAGCTGAGCTACAAAATTTAAGGATTGCAGAGTCCAGACAAAGCAGCCCGCGCTGGGCTAGAAAAATTAACAATTGACGGCACAGATTGTGCCTGAAACTACCTGGTCTTGATTGGGTAAGGCCAGTCACCTTTGGTCTGCTGGGCTTACCATCTCAGTTGTGCCATCTCACTTATGTTCGATTATGTCTGGCTTGGCCAGAAATTGCCTTCATGATGTCCAGTCAGTCAGCACTGTGCATTGATCACTTGAACATCCAGCAGCCACGCACAGCGCCAGGAGTCTCAACCTGCTCAAGGCTGTGTATTACCGTTTCACCCACCCTCGCCTGTGCTGCCTTACGCTTGCCATGCCTTGCCCAAAGATCATCGGCAAGGCGCGTATCGACTTACACCTTGAAAAGTCGCAAAATGTATGTGATTAGCGGCAGCAACTGAATAATGATCGGCCACACAATGATCGATTGACTTAGTGATGTGTTGGAAACACTTGGCTGAACATGTAAGACTCGTCAATGCGAATGGCAGCTTCTGTATTTAGCGGCTCGGCAGCTATCTTCCACTTGCAGCAGGCAGGCCATCGAAGCCAGTGCGAACTCCCTGTCGCTGAAGTATTCGCTGATCTCTTGCTGAATGGCCTTCGGCAACCTGCCCAGCCAATAATTCAAGCGCGCTCCAAGAGTCTTGGCGACGTCACGGCCTCTCGTCTCCAGGGTACACTTCGACATCGCCAACCACGGTTGTTGATCTTAGTCAGACCGACCATAGCCACATGCAACGCAGCTTGGAAAAGTCAAGGCGAGCCCCTTCTCCGATTCCTCCGTGCTACAAGTACCAATCATGTCGAAGTGCACTTTGGCCGTTTCAGCAGCATTTTGCCAGTGGTTCGAGGCGAGATACGTACAAAGCAAGCAAGGCACATGCAGCATCTGTTTCATTACCAACAGAAGACTACGACTGCACTATGGAACAACAGTCTCGATGTAAGCAGAATCATAATTACATGACTCATGCATCTAGCCACGAAGGGCATGTGTATGACTGCGCGCACTGCGTTCACGCGCATGCTCAAAGGTTCTATTATCACTCAGCAAAGATCTCCTTGTCCAGAAAGTTTTGCTGTCCAAGAAACTTGTCAATGACGCCACAGTCTTCCAGTAACTTGAGGTCCGGAACATATCGCTCCTCAAGAATGCTGCACTGGCACAACTTACCCGCAGATAATTCTGGAATTCGTGCACCGGAGGCCTTTGAATGGTCCACGAGAACAAAATCTGCAGGCTGCCTCTCCATCCTGGCAGGTGACGCAGATCGGAACTCTGTTCGCGCTGAAGCCCCGCTGCCACAGCCTGTCTGTGATGTTCACCAGCTCGGAATGAACTGTACCCATCCAAATCTTCACCTGAAGAAAGGCTTGTCATTGGTGCTAGTACTATCTTACACTCATCAACATTCATAAGAAGCGTTACATGCGCTCACCCAAGCCCGAAGATACACCGCACACCTGAAGGGGCTAAGAAGTTAGAGTGCCAATAGAGTGCCGGCACTTCGTGTGAACAAAGATCTTGCCTTTGAGTCCAACCCAGCAAACTCGATGATCTTTGTTGCAATTGCAGCGAACAGCTCGTCCTGGTGACTGAACTGCGAGGTTCCACATGCGACAGACGCCCGAGACATGCACCCTGTCCTTCTCCACGCTGAGGAGTTTGCCGCCGTCCGGCAGATTCCTAGCTATTCGAAGTGCACTGTAGCCGCCTCAGACAGACTGCATGGTGTCGAAATGGACGACAGGTGGACAAATTGGCTGTCGCCGCCGGGTTGCAGTACGTACCCATCTCAAGGCATCGCACCGGGTGCGAAGAGCCTGCCTGCTGGAAGCAGCTGGATCCACAAGCTGACAGTCAATAAGGCCTACAATGCCTACAAGTAGCACAGGACGAACATTAAAGCATTAAGATGCATTGGCCGTTGCCTTGAGCTGTACCGACTCCTGAACTTTCTCCTCGATCTTCTGCCCCCGGACATTCCACTTTTGGGCTCCTGAGAACTCACCGCCGGTGCTGTGGGCAGTCGCCACGTCAGTGCTCCTTGGGCTTGGAACGTTTTGTTCCAGAAAGCATCCATAGCTGCAATGACCTGATGTAGCAAGAGGAGTGAGAAGAATTGAAAGACTAGAAGAGTTAGTTCCGAAATCCGAGGTGCGCTGTCAGGATTGCCAGGTTGGGCCGTGGACACGACGTGTTCCAGCAGAGATCGCTCCAGACCATGCATGGCTTCACTCCCCATTTTCTGCACGGTTCCCTTGGCCTGGGATACATCAGAAGAACTGCAAGCTGTTCACCACAGATAGGCAGATTGATGTTCTGGAAGCAGGTCGTGTCTCACATCTGTGCAGTAGCATGCAAGCAAGTCGTCACCCGCCTCAGCCGTCACCATGCCAGGGGCAAGAGACACGGCGGGTGGCGAATACTCCTGCTGCGTTTGCTGAATGCAAGAGGAATGCTTGGAGCACTTGAGAAACAAACAAAGGCGGGAAGCGGGGAGGGAGAGAGAGAGAGTGAGAGAGGCCTAGACAGGGATAACCATTCAAGCGCCTCAGAGAAGGAAGTGTCCACAGCATCGCAGATCTCCTTCATCCAACCGTGCTTGTCCTCAAGCTCACCACCTCGACTGTGTCAGAACTTGAAACTCTGGCTTTTTGCTGTGTGAGGGCTTCGTTGAGCACGCAACACTGGATGGAAGTGAGCTCACTTCGGAGGCTGGCCATAGTATCCTGAGAACTTGCGCATGCAGACTTTACAGCACACTCATTGCAAGTCACCTACACTTCGAAAGCTTTTGATCCAGACTACGTCACCTAGTCATTATCATTACAGAAACGTCACACTCGTGTCAAGCTACCCGCGCGCCATGCAGCCGAGCAAGGTGAGCCAAGCAACAAATTCATCGAAGTCGTACACCGTGNNTTCACTTTCACGACAACAGCGGCCGTGCCACACATGCCTGAGTGACGCGGAGTCCGGCAGATGCTCTATTTTTGTACGGTCTCGGTCCTTCCTCTTCTATCTCTTCTTCAACCAGATATTCAGGACTGGCAGACCGCTCGCCCTCAAAGCTTTCGGCTTCTTCCCCCAGCATTGGGTTCGTGAGGTCCGAGTGACACCCCCACCAGAATCTGGCAATCCCTATGCTGGCCGGCACTGAAAGACAGAGAGAGAGAGAG